CCCTCGACTTTGTCAAGAAGGATGTCCAGAATGACGCCCAGAAGACGTTCGGTCTATCTGGTCTAATTAGCATATTACCCTTTTATTAGTATAGATTCTGTTTCTTCATTTGTAAAATAGGTTTATAGGTCCTTTCTTCGTGGATAATAAGAGCACCTTTGCCTGGTGTCTAACACATACTAGGTCCCTAGTAAATTTTTTCACTATTTTTCATTGGTATTTATTTAGCATACTAAAGGCTCAGTGCACAAAATTCGTGCCCTAGGTGGGGGGTCCCTCAGCCCAGCCTGCCCCCTCTCACAGTCCGGGAGCCCTCAGGGGATGTCCTACTGACGATTTAGGCCTGCTACTCTGTGGGAGGCGACCGGCTGATCAGGGGAAGGCACCACCCCCCATCACCCCGCTGCTGCTGCCACTGCCGGCCGCTGCAGCTGCCAAGGTGTTTTCATCAACACAGACTCCAGTCCTTTCACCACGAAAAAATGACAACTTTTTTTGGTATTTTCAAGATGTCTCTTTCATAGGATATGACATTTCTTTCTTTCTTTCTTTTTTTTAATCCTCACCTGAAGATATTTTTCCATTGATTTTTAGAGAGCATGGAAGAGAGAGGGAAAGACAGAGAGAAACATCAATGTGAGAGGGACACTTCGATTGTTTGCCTCCTGCATGAGCCCTGACCTGGGCCCCAGCCAGGAAGGAGCCTGAAACCTAGGTACATGCCCTTGATCAGAATCAAACCCGGACCCTATGGTCCACAGGCCAAGGCTCTAACCACTGAGCAAACTGGCTAGGGCAGGATATGACTTTTCTTAGCCCCTCCAGCAGCGGACCTTCATTTTTACCTCCAAGAGTGAGGTGGAAAAACCCTAGATCATCTTCTTGGATTCTTATTACCCAGGTTACCAAGAACACTGTGAGTGGCATACCGGGAGCTTAGCCAATGAGTGGTCAGAAAAGGTGTTTCCTCTGCAGCTCACACACAGAGGCAGGACTGCTGATGTGCTGAGGCTGGAGCAGGCCCCCTGTCTGTGTCCACTCCAGGGCTGCCTGTCTCTGTCTCTGTCTCTGCTCCAGGCCTCACCTGCACACACAACCTCCTCCTGACCGGTTGTGACTGTTACGGCGTCCCGACTAATTTGCAAATTACCTCTTTTTATATATATAGGTGTTTTATAGAAATTTCAGTTAATGACAAATAGTCATCATGCTGCATCATTATTATTTATGAATTATCCATTGTATATTGAGAGCACAATGTACTTAGAGAAACTGAAATTTTCAAACTCCTTGTGTATTTTATTAGCCACTTTTATGTCACTAAAATCGTCTAGTCATTTATTCAATTTTTGTTTATTCAGGAGGATTCAAGTACATAAGAAATAAATGTGCTAATTCCTGTTCTGACAACATGGACTGAGTTAACACAGAACTTCTTTCTCCTACAAATATATAGAAATGCTGGATTAAATATGATTCAGCCCAATTTAAATACTTAGCTAAGCTACAGAGAGAAAGAGAGAGAGATTGTAAGAGAGGGAGGGAGGGCGGGAGGGAAGGAAGAAGGGAAGAAGGAAAGAAGGAAGGAAGGAAGGAAGGAAGGAAGGTTATTGACATAGATCTGTTAACTGGAAATGCAAAATGGAATGTATTCATAGTCTTTCACTTGAGTCATTATCAAATGTACCAAATAAGGAAGGAAGGAAGGAAGGAAGGAAGGAAGGAAGGAAGGAAGGGAGGAAGGAAGGAAGGAAGGAAGGAGAGAGAAAGGGGAGAGGGAAGTCCTAGGTACCAAAAAGAGGAAGCATAACCAGAGCTTGAAGTGGACAAGCTGACACTGCAGTTGCCCAGAGGGATATTGGAACCAGATGTAGACTCTAATAGCTAGAAGCTGGGTTTTTAATCTCACACTTGGACAGAGATGTGGCCTCGGGTCAAGAGAGGTGGAAACTACAAAAACTGCCCACCTGGTCAGTAACGCCACAAAGAAGCTTGCCATTTTTTCAGAGTTATGTGTGGGAAAGGGGGGGGAAAGTCTGTCATAAAAAATCAAATCAAAACTCTAAACTTCTACCAGCCATGATTATAAAGTCTTAATGTACACTACCTATTATGGTACAAGAATCCTAAGCCAAGAAATTAACTTAGAAAAAAATGGTTCTGAACCAGTGGAACCCCTTAATTGCCTGGTAGAAACAAATGCAAAAGTTCTCTGTAGAAATTTTTACACAGTCCTGGGTGCCTAGGATTCCTATGCAGCATGGTGCAGATGCAGCTCTAGCTGAAGATAAACTCACAATTAAAAATTAGAAAACACACAGAGAAATGTCTATTCTAGGGAGAGAGTCAGAAGACATAACAGAAGGATTCCCAAGAACAACATGAAAGATACAACATAACAAGTGTGTTTTAAATAGAGATTTTTAAGGAATAAAAATTATATTAAAAGACTAAGGCTATCAAAAAGAGTAGGTGAATTTTTAAAAGAACCAAATAGAATATCTAGAAATTAAAAAAAAAACACAACAACACATAATTATCACTATCAAAGACTTAGTTTGTGTTTCAAAAACTGGTTAGATACAAGTAAACAGAGAGTTAGTGAACTGAAATATAGAACTAAGGAAATCAGCTCAGAGTATACTGCTGAGATAGTGAAACATGAAAAGTGAATGTATTATGATCATTTATAGTTGATCACATTATAAATAGAAGGACTTTATATTAATATGATAGACCCATTAAAAAGTAGAAGAACGGACCTGATTTTTCACACACTAGGGTTTGTGCAACATATATCATTTCATTTGGCTGTGTGTACTGTGTAAAAGTGTTTGGGTTAGTTTCCATGAAGTCCATGTGGAACCTTAGCAGGCTTAATCCTGGCACCACAAACGTGTATAATAAAAAACCAACAGCCTTACAACTTTTGTCAAACTGTTTGCCTGTACATTTGGGCTAGAAATTTAAAGAGGACGTGGGAAAAGATATCCTTAAACCTGGCAATTAAATACAGTATCTCAGAAGACCAAGAACTAGAGAAGCCATTGTGAAATGATTACCACAATCAAGCTAATTAATATATCACCTTATGTTGTTACAATTTGTTTGTTTGTGTGTGTGCATGTGTATATGGTGAGAAGACTTAACATCAACTCCGTTAGCAAATTTCAACTATATAATACTATATTATTATCTATAGTCACCATGCTGTACATTAAATCTCCAGAACTTACCTATCCCACATAATTATACATTTGTACCCTTTGACCAACATCAAAATCCTAGTAGGTTACCATTAAAATGTGTTTCTTGGTTCACACCTTTTTTTTTTAACTAGAAAATCTCTTGAACAAAATGGCTGATTATTAATACAGTGCACATTAATAATACTCTTTAAAATGGGTAACAAAGAGGCAAATAAACCCAGGCTTAAGTAGAAAGATTACTAGCATTCTTTTTTTTTTTAATTGATTTGAGAGAGAGAGGGAAAGGGAGAAAAAGAAAGAAAGAAAAAAGAAAGAAAGAAGAGAGAGAGAGAGAGAGAGAGAGAGAGAAAAGAAAGAAAGAAAGAAAGAAAGAAAGAAAGAAAGAAAGAAAGAAAGAAAGAAAGAAAGAAGAAAGAAA